AAGGCAAATTGTAGTAGATTAATGGGTATACATGCTGGAACGAAACTGAGATATAATCACATTAGCCGATTAGTCCAACTTTGCAAAAATCTAATATGTTAATATGATTTATATCTAACTTCAGTGACTAAACATTGACATAACATTTTTAAAAAGACAAATTATCGCTTTAGTCTGACTGAAACAAAATGTTTAAAGTGCATGATGTAAATGCACTTACTCCCAAAGACTGCACATCACAAAATCTAAATCACAAGAGAGATATAGGTAGGCGGGAAGAAAAAAAATAGACCGCTCTTTTGTAATCTCAGAAGACAGTGATTCAAAGTGTATATTAAACCCAGACAGCGCTTGATTTTGACCTGTCTAGTCACTGGGAGGGGCAGCGTACAGGAAATGCCCGAAACAATGGGTTGGTTTATGATGTCACACTGATAACAACACAGTGGTGACTTATGAGTGTCTGTCTGCTTGCTGATCCCTGCCATTATACGGGACAGTCGATAATCCAGTAGAAACCAAACAGCTGATGAGATCAAATAAATTCTAAAAAGTTCAAATCGGTAATAGGATCATAAAGAGTGACAGATACTTTCCATTGTGGGTCAAAAGTATGTAACGCCAACATAGTGACTAATGGAGCCTGTTGACTGGTTCAGCAGGGGCCACCGAAGTCAAAGCTGTAGGATTGGGAAGGAAGGTGTCAAAGTAGTCAAGCCTCCATAGATGCACTGCATATCTGCTTAAGATAACTTTCTGACGGCTTATTTATCTTGACGTGGGAGTCCTTATATTTCAACAAATGCCTGAGCATCAGCATGTATTGATAGACCTGTTAACACTTCAAAGTGGGGCCAGTCGAACAGGTTTGAGATTTCATGCCAAGGTGGTTCCCTCAGAGTAAGGTCAGCAAGTGAGAACATCACCACTGACAAAATTTAGGTTGTTGCAGAAAGCACAAAGCTTTGAGGGATTACAAGGAACCTTCTTTGCCTGGACCTGTAAGTCTCCCAGAAGATAAGGAGGAGCTTAGTACAGTATCTTGGCCTCTGAAGACATCCCAATATTACCACTCGCTCTACAACTTCAGGGGAGTTTTCTTTGGTGCCGTCAACAAGGTAATGTGTTTGCCCATTACTTTGGTGTCCTGGAGCTTTACCAATTGCAATAAGAGACCTGAAAAGGGGCTTGAGAATCCTCAGTGCTGTCAGAAGATATACTGTGAGAAAGCAGCTGTGTTCCTCAGGGTATTACATAATGCACATTTCAGTGTTCACTGCCCAGAGAAACCTTGAATGCCTTCAGCTGGAGCGAGCTCAATGTGGACAGCAAAGGAATGCGATAAAGGGATGGATGGCCAACTGCCTGCACCATAGGCTGCAGGGGAAAATTAGCAAGAAAGCATAGGGGCAAGCTAGTGAAGATGGTGGGCACCTGCAGGCCCGGTGAGGAACCACCACAGGAGCATTAACGTAGCCCAGCTCAATGGAAATGCATTTTTATTGGTATTATGTGGATACACCACCTCTTTCCCAGCCCCCATCCACTGACCCAACTATCCAGCCCTTTGTTTCAAAAAGTTACTGGGCTGTGAAATGCAAAAACTCACAGCACAGAATATGCAAGCAGTGCGATTTATTATCTTGTCAAACTGGGCTTCTCTGGGACAGACCGAGCTCAACATTTGCACCGCCTTCGCCTCAGATAGCTGTTGCCTTCAGCTAGTCTCTGGGGCTTATGTGACCCTGCTCAGATGTGTTCCAGTTCTACTGACTGTGATGTGTTTCTGTGGGTTAGTCGTCAGCCCTCCAGCTGCCAGTGAGCATTGAGAAGTTCACCACATCTCAGATTATATTTCTCAACCTTTTAGTATTAAAGCTATTGATAGAACATGGGGAAAAAAGGGTAGGTTTAAAGTTTTGCTGGGATTGTCAGGACAATCCGGTCTCATGGGTTCGGACCGCAATGCTTAGAGTAGTAGTCCTAGAAAAGGTTTGAGATAGGTGCAAAACAATCAAACCCTGCTTCTGAAATTAGAACAAAGTCATTTGGAATCACTGATGCTGATGAAAACTTTCCAAACAAAACACTTGACAACGAGGAGAAGAGTGCTGTAAGGACAGGTCTGCCAGACTTTGTAGACAATGAGAAAGAGAGTGACCCATTTTCGCTGTGACCCACAAAAAGGCCTGCTTGTCAGACGACACACCAACAAAGGCACACATGTGGTGCACTAGCTGATGGAGGACAGATGGATGGATGCAGACAAACAGACTCAGCTCCCCAACCCATCTCTTAGGTGATCCTTGCTAATTGGCCAAGCAGCCTTGGCTGCCTCTAATGGTGTTGTTTACTGCCTCTCCCTCATTCCCCAGGCCACTCCACCTGCTCTTCCAACCTCCAGTGAGGAGCTCTGAGAGTTGTACTGGGTGGCACTGCTTAGGGAGGGGGTTAGAGCCAACAGGGGCTCTCTTGTTGCACAAACAGCCGCTCTTTGAATTCACTTGCGGGTCACCGCCGAAATAATCCCTCCCTTCTCTGCCCCAAGAAAGGTTGGCAAGCTGCGATTACAGCGAGCCGCCCGCTCTGTCTTTTCCCTCTGTGTTCTTTTCTCTCTCTTCTGGGTCTCGTCTTGACAGTGAGAGATAGCGTCTTTGTTTAAGTTGGGAGAGACGGTGCCAGCAGCAGGCATCCCTTGTGGGGAATGGATGCAGTGCACATCAAACCCAGGAGGACTTCATCACGTTCGACGGACAACCCCTCGTCATCCCTGAGCACATCACCTCCGTCACCCTCCACTCCATAGCCCATCCCTGGTCTCAGCCTGAGCTCTGAAACTCAATTCACCCATATCGCCTCCATTAAGGTCTGATTCATGCTCCGCTCGCAAGGGGCCGAGCACAGCTATCCATCTTGTCTCCTGCTCAAAGGGTGCTGTTTACCTTGCACTGGCAGATCTAGGGCTACACTTTAAAACCATCCCAACCTGTAAAAGCATCACACTTTAACTGTGATGTCACTCAAAGAAAAAAAACCTTTATATTTACCTATCTACAGAGATAGGCCTTTTTTCTTTTCATGCTCACTTTCTTGTCATAAATTCAACTTTTATTTTTTTCTGTTTCCATGTGGTTGTTCCCCTCTTCTTGTAATGCGAGCTGATACTCTCTCTGCTATCTCTAAGCTGTCTTTGCCAGTGGCATATGAACACATATGCAGGTTGTACAAGCTCACAAGAGCTTGTTTTCTTTTGAAACAAGAAAAAAAAAAAATATATATATATATAAAAAGCAAAGAAGTGTAAAACTGTAGTGTAAAATTTGTGATCCATGTGTGCTTGGACAGCCAGTTCACGATACCACAGGGAATTAATGCCCCATGCCTGCAATGCCCCATTGTTTGATATGACCATGATGCTTTAAGTTAATTAATGCCAGAATTAGCTGATGAACCAGAACTGTCTGTCTTCCTGCATGACATATTACTGTTCTAATCATTGAGATGAGATCGCCAGATCTGCATTTTCCTTCTACACTCTTAAAAATAAAGGTGCTTCATGATGCCATAGAAGAACCTTTTTGTCTAAATGGTTCCATAAAGAACCTTTAACATCTGAAGAACCTTTCTGTTTCACAAAAGGTTCTTTGGGGCGAAAGAAGGTTCTTCAGATTATAAAAAGGTAAGAAAGAGATGGTTCTTTAAAGAACCTTTGACGGAATGGTTCTTTGTGGAACCAAAAATGGTTCTTCTATGGCATCGCTTGAAGAACCTTTTGAAGCACCTTTATTTTTAAGAGTGTATACTCATGCCAATATCTCTGTATTTGCATTTGCTACCAGATAATATTTGTGTTGGTGTAGAAGTGCCAGTTGAATTGCCAGTGGGGGTAGATCTGTTTCAAGTTCACACATCAGCGATAAATAACCACTCGCTGCATTTCCCTGCAGTTGAGCACATGGAATTGCAATGAGCTGAAGAGAGCCGGTGTATGCGTGCAGAGGCGTCCGGCGTCACATCGATTACCAGATGTCCTTCTTACCGCCAACCATAAATCTTGGCATTAAATTGCTCCTGTTTAATTTACAGAACTTCCAAACCCTGTTGCTATTATTGCTGTATTTGGCTAATAAAGAAATTATTGACCAAGAACACCAAGTAATTGATTTGCATTGATCATATAAAGAACACATCACTTAAAAACATGACCCTGATAGATATTTCCCAATTTGCACATATGTGCATCACTTCCAAATCGTCCAGAAGGCTTAAGTGGGATGTCATAAAAATGTAAAACACTACTATTATTATTGATTATCTCTACCCCTAAAAGAGTCAGCAAATTGGCATACAGATGCACACCAGCTCTCAGAGGCAGAGGGATGCATTCTCCTCACATTCACTCACGCGCGCACCCTCGCGGCGGAGGTAATACATAATACATGACGATCGGGAGCTGCTCTTGATATCGTCGGGCAGAAAAACACGAAGTAATCTGACAGATGCAAATGCATTATTTAATAACGAGTCGCTTATTGTTAGCCAAGCCTTTATTTTTTTTCTGGCCACATTACGTTCGCCTTAACAAAACGCCATTCAGTTAGTTCCAGTTAGAAGTAGCCTATAATGCACATGAATCATCTCGTGTCTCATTCTGTCATTGGCATCTATTTTGCCTTGAGTGTACAGCAAAGAAGTGTACCAAATATGCATTTCACTCCTTAAAGCATATTATAGATTATTCTTCAAACTAATACTCACTTTCACTCGGTTAAATAAAAAGACCGGAGTTCTAGCCATGCTTTAGCGTGAGAGAAGCAAAACAGCACTTGCATCACTAAAAACCACAACGCGGAATAATTTGGACACGGAAAACAGCGTGTTTGGGCATACGCGCGCACTGTGAAGTTGTGTGAATGTTTCCATTAGATGCATGTGCGCATTTACGCACGGGTTATTTATGCGAACTAACAGTGCAAGTAGTTACGCGCAAACTCGCTCACCTGCTGCCAGTTCTCCTCCAGCGACGGCATCGCCGAGAAGTAGCCCGTGTCGTGCACCAGCTGAAGTTCCTGAAAAATACTGTAATTCGCCAACACGTCCATGTTGATGCTCACAAGAAAAAAAAAAGTGTTGCTTTGATCCTCCGGTATAATCTGTTTTCTTCTCAGCCCAATGTCAAATGCAAAAGAATGCTTCAAATCCTCCGCGAAGTGTAGTTTAAAGCTGGTAATTTTAAGCGCTGAGAAAAGGAAGGAAAATAAAAAGAATTCTTGTCACTTAATTGCAATCCCCGCGAACTCTCAGATCCTCAGCCTGGGAGTGGGATGCAAACTCGGTGACATGAACTGTCCACCTATTTCCGCATTGCCTCCGTCTCTTTTGCGCTATAAATTCCAGGTTGCCTTTCTCTTGAATGCCGTGGATCACCAAGGCAAGTTGCTGGGCTCGCTCTCTCGCGAGCGAGAGGAAGCCAAGGGAACTGAAGGGGCGTGGTTTGTTGTCAATCAATTCCGTGCGTGACCATATACGGTAAATAGGGTTGATGATCTCACTGGCGTCCAGTAAGGCGGCGCTTAAATGGCCAAAGAGGCGGAGTATAATTTGAATATTCTAGCGTGATTGGCTCATGACACTTGTCAATCGGGCCGTAGAAGGCAGTGAAAGGTGAGCTATTTTTAGAGAGCTATATAGCAGCGGCAGCGCGCTGGCGTCGCTCATACGGCCGGAGAGAACGCAACAAACAGAAGTAGAAGTTGCAGTTTGTAACGTGAAGCAATTCTACGCTTATATGAAGTCATATCAGTTGGAAATCACACATTACGGTAACATACACCACAGAGCTGCCGATAAAGTTGGAAACAGTAGTTCAGAAAATTAGAATGACATTGTGATGTAATAGTTTGGCACAGGCAAATACTGAAAAAAGTGCGGAGATCCTCTCAGATATTCCACAGGCTCTAGGATTAGGTGCTTCAACAGACAAGATCAGGGCGACTTTAAATATTTTAATTCTGAAATAAGAGGCTTAGGACATAGAAATGAGGTTTAGTTCTTCTGATGGCGCAAATTACCTCAAAGAACATATTTAATTGCAACTCTTTCTGCAACTGATGGCATTGATTTCCAGTACTGATCTGGTTATTGTTGTGTAAAGGGTAATTGAGTCATCAGGATGTTTTTCATCCCTGTGGGCAAGCCAGAAACACTTTTAAAAGCAATTAATTCCTGAAATCCATATAACCGGAACCTATATATATATATATATATATATATATATATATATATAAAATATATATCGGAATAATGACTTTTGCCCATGGCAGTGCTGTATAACTGACCACTCATCTCGCAAAACAATGTTTCCTTCACAGCTGTGCTTGTATTCTGTTTACATGCTAATAAAGACATTTCAGTGTTTAATAATCATATATTAAATGATTTGATACATAGTCATGCAATGAGTCAGATAATGTCCAAGTCAAACAGTCTTAACATAATCACTGTAATTACTGTATATTTTCTTTAATGTGTTTTGTAAAACCTATTTTCACCACTGATGTCTCAGTTACAACTTTGTTGTTAAAAGACAAATAGACTATTATTGTAAAAAACCAGCAACCTGCCAAGCTGACTGAAGCAAGACAAATTATTATTATTTTCTTAAAAATACAATAACTGATATGAGCAAACATGTGACTTTGAATTCTGTCAGAATAGAAGTGTGTAAGTTGACACTTCACAAGTCAGATCTTTTTTAGCTTTGTAAACGGTATACACAACTATATGTTCTGTATATAAATATATATGCTTCTCACTGAGAACTCGCATCATTTAGGGTGACCATACGTCTTTTCCCCGGACATGTCCTATTTTTGGACCTACAAAAAAGAGTCAGGCTGGGATTTCTTAATTGCCCAAAATGTCCGGGATTTGGCTGTTTTCTGAATCTCTGACCATTGCCGCCTGCTCCCGCAATGTGTTTCGCTCCCGCAATTTTCATGTCCACTCCTTTAAACATTCTAATATTTTATAGAATTTTGGCATCAGGGAGCCGCTCTCAGGATGCGGTGTATTTAAATATTTTTGAATGAGTGTTTGCGTTTTCACTTTCGGTTTCGCGATCACACTCACTCTGTGTAAAGGGAGCACATCTTACAAGATCAGATATTTGTCAATGAGTTCAGGATCTGTTGAGCAGCAAATACTCCAGCATGGTCTTGTCAGTCATCTCTCCTTATTCTCGACCTGAAATCAGTCCTGCAGCTCATGTTGGATGCAGGGATGCCAAGTCTGCGTTTTTTCCACAGAATTGGGCTACTTTTAAACTGTTGCCATGGGTTGATTTTCCCAAGTTAAAGGTTTGAGATATTGCATAAATTACATTTGACTGAAATGCTTCTATTGAAACATTTTGCATTCTACCTATGATAAAACTTTCATGGACTTCTACATTAACTGTTCCCTCCTGGTGGAATGACCTGCCCAACGCAATCCATGCAGCTGAGTCCTTAATATTTTCAAGAAACGGCTGAAAACACATCTCTTTCATCTTCATTTGACCCTCTAACTCTAGCACTCTCTATTCTAATGCTACTTCTAATTTTATCTCTTTGGTTTTTTTTATTAAAAAACTTGACCCTCTAACATTTGCACTTTCTATTCTATTTCTATTCTAACTACTCTTTTTATTTATAAAGAAAGAAGAGCCTCTAACACTAGCAATCTCTGTTCTTTCTCAATTCTTTCTACTTATTTTATTTTTATTTTATAAATAATGACCTTCTAACACTTGCATTATCTATTCTTTTTCTGTTCTATTGACTTGTTTTATTTTTATTTAAAATGGCCCTCTAACACTAGCATTCCCTATTCTTTTTCTATTCTTTCTACTCGTTTTATTTTTTATTATAAAAACTAAATAAGCAAACAAACAAAAAAAACCTGCCTATGTATACTGTTAGGCAAAAACCCGCCCCTGTCCCCGCCCACGAACCCTGCCCCCTACTGTCCTCTTTTTGACAAACTAAAATATGGTCACCCTAACCTAATTTTCTTTAATTCGTCATCTATAAACCAGATATTTTTAGTATGTTGTGGTTCTGGTATTTTTGGTCTGTTTTGAAGGTAACATACACATACCAAATAAAATCTTTAAATAAATGTAAATACTACTTCAGTTAAAATTACTGTCAGGCAGTCAAAATGCCTGACTTTGCAATGTGAAAGAGTGTTTTAGTTGTAGTGAGTAATTGAGTTTGTATGTGCGTTGTGCTCTCTGTCTCTTCCGTCACTTTCCCATGGGACATTGGTCTTTGTCTCAGTGGAGTACTAGGGCAGATGGTTGCTAGATTGGCTGTTTAGGACATTTTCCCTATTGATTTTTACAGGTCTCCCTGCCAGAGAGAATTAGCCAGAGTGGGGGTTGGATGGAGGGGTGAAGGCTGCTCCGTAAGACATGCTAGCCTGTCTATATCAAAAAATATACACTGAACAATTTGCAGCTGAATGTCGAAGTGTATGCGATTTCCTACAGATCCATGCAGCAGGTCAGATGCCGGGGGACAAGATTGAGTCCTGCCTCTTCCTCTTCGGCCAGCAAGCTCTACCAAGGGACAGAGGATGCTGGAAAGAAGAAGCAGGTGTGTGTGATTTGGTGTTATTGCGCAGCGGGTTAAGGGCAGGTGCAAGTCTGCCAGGCTCAGTGGCACAGCTGGGCAGTGTAAGCCCTGATGATCACCGCTCCCTCCCATAGCTAACCCTCTGTCTCACCAAGTCTGAAACAGCTGGTTCCAACTATGCCTAGCCCTGACCGGGGCAAACCCTGCACCTTCCAAACTGGGCCATGGACTTAATAAAACACACTCAGGGTGTCCTGCAGTTCCTACCACCCACATTTACCTTGGAGGCTGAAGCGTAAAATTTTTAAGGGCTGTATAATGTCAACAGGGGAATAATTTGTTATGCCTAGACACAACTACATGTAAGATGCATGATATTACATGCAGCTGTGTCTAAGCATAAGAAATTATTCTTGACTTCATACACCCATATTAAAAGGGATAGTTCCCCACAAAATTTTACCTTTTTTATTTTATATTCTTTTTGATTCATTCTCATCTTGTTCCACATTTGTATTGACTTTCTTATGTGGAACAAAAATGAAGAATGTTCACGCTCTATCTCTTCACTGGAAATATGTTCTTGTATGAGAGTATTAAATTTTTCCAATTTTGACTTGCCATGCCAACATTTTCACTGGCCCCCATTAAAAAAATAAGAATGAGTGAATGAATAAATAGTAATATAATAATTAATAAAATCTAGCAATGCATTGTTATATTTGCTGTATTAGATTTTTGTTTTCTTTTCATTTTTTTCTTCACAAATATTTTCTTTGCAAAACGAAAATTGGCAACAAGATGAGGTTATACAGCTATAATTAGCTTAACTGCATCATTTTACAAACACTCTTGCTGGAAAATAGCATGCGATGGAAAGCATCACAGATTTTTTTTTTGTATTTTTCATCACATTTGTACAGATGCTTTCAATATATTTTTGCAGTTTTGGCAAAACCTAATTTATGCTGGCCAGCTAGATTGCATGATCTTTGTGACAAATTGGCTGGCAGCATCTGCAACAACAATGTTGAAAACATTACATAAAACCAAATGTTTAAGGTTGCAAGACATAAAAATGGATGTACAAGATCAACAATAAATGTTATTGCTGAGTCTTATATAATTTTAAGAGCTATCTTATGGCTTCAGAAGACTTGGAATGTAACCCACTAGTCATATGGATTACTTTTATGGTGTTTTTTTTGTAGCTAGACAGCCTCTTATCACTGTATGCTTTTGTTGTAGGGAAAAGAGCAGCATGAACTTTCTTGGAATACAAATGGAAACCATGCTAGAATTCTATTTTTAAGGTAAACTGCTCTTTTAAACAGTGTGTTTAATCAAGACATCACCAGCGTCTCTGATTTGTGGGTGTTATGTTGATAATCCTGCTTTGCATGATCCTAAATTGGCCGTGTTTCACTGTTATTGTTTTTTGCTCGCCACCAAGGTGACATCATGTGAATCTGCCTCTGCTTGGATAGTCATGGCAACTGATCTGTTTGCATAAACACATGGGGCTGACTCTCCTCCCCTGCGGTCCCTCGTGTCACTGGGATTCTCACAGATCCTAGCAGCTACAGGGTTGTATCATTACTGCACCCTGCTGCTTCACACACTCACAGGGGAGAGCCTGGCGCCACTCCTGTCGGTTCAGCCAGTCCAACTCCCAGAGCGACCCCTACCAGCCGACCCCGGGGCGCTCTTCAACCAACACCCCTCGTCAGCAACATCCCCCCAGCCTCCAGCACTTACATCACAGCCCTCCACCCTCTCATCTGTGACCTGTGATCACACTCGACTTTCTGACATTCTTTTAAGTGTTCTTGCACAGCGGGCGCTT